AATGGATAAACAAAATGTAGTATATCCACACAATGGAATAGTATTAAGCTATAAAAAGAAATGAAGTACCTACACATGGATTAATCTTAAAAACATTATGCCCAATGAAAAAAGCCAGGTACAAAAGTCCACATATTGTATGATTCCATTTACATGAAATGTCCAGAATAGGCAAATCTATAGAGACAATAAATAGATTAGTGGTTGCCAGAGGCTGAGGGGAGGAGAGAATCTGGAATGACTCTAAAGGGTATGGGGTTTCTTTTCAGGGGTGATGAAAATGTTCTGGAATTGGTGGTGATGGTATACAACCATGTGAATATACTAAAAACCTCTAAGTTACACAATTTAAAGTGGTGAATTTTATGGTATGTGAATTACATCTCTAGCAAAAACAATTTTTAAAAAAGTATAGGAAAAGATATACCAGGTAAATATTAAGCTGAATAAAGCTAATGTCTGTATATTAATATCAGGAAAAAGAATGATTGCAGGGCAAAATGCCAACGATACTACATTACCAGAAATAATTTCCTTACACATTGATAAAATATTCAATTCACCAGGAAGATATAGCAATTGTAAATTTCTTTGTAACTATTTACAAAGCTTCAAAATTGACGTAGTTATAAGGGGCCATTAACAAATTTTCCATATCAACAAGCAGATAAAACCCCAGAAGAATACAGAGCATTTGAGCCACATTAAAATACAGGACTTAATTGAAGTATATACTACACTGAACTCAACTGTAAAATGTACCTTTTTTCAAGTGCTCATGGAACATTTACCAAAAATGACAATATGTTGGTCCATAAAGCAAATCTCAATAGATTTCAAAGAACTGAAATCATACGAAGCTTGTTCTCTAATGAGAATGGAATCAAACTGGAAATGGCAAGGGCACTGATCTCTCAAATCAGAAACTGGCCCAAGGGCTGGCACCAATTACTGGAGGCCTCCTGCTGTGCCAGGTACTAACCCTTTAGTTGCTTGATGGTAATCAGTAGGTCCTGGGAAAGGTACTGAGGTGGCCAGGGCAACTCGCTAAGTGGTGGAGAAACTAAGAAAGCCTGGAGCAGTGCCTATTTACCAAATGGTCTAGAAATATTTAAAATATTCATATGTCCATACAATTGTGCCTCTATGGAATATCAGCCCTGTTTAGTAGGCCAATTATAACATTGAATGCTTACATTCAAAAAGAAGAAAGTCTGAAAATTAATGAGCTGAACATCCAACTCCAAAAGTTAAAAAAAGAACAACAGAATAAATCCAAACAAGTGAAAGAAATAGAATAATGATAAGAAAACTAGTTAAATAGAGACCAAAGACATAACAGAAAGAATCAAAAAACCAAAAGTTGATTATTTTAAAAAACTTATAAAAGTGACAAACTTCTGGCAAGATTGATCAAGAGAAAAAAAGAGAAGGTACAAATAAACAATGTTAGAACAAAAGAGAGGATATAACTGCAAAGGCAACAGAGACTTAAAAAATCTGATGAGAACTTTATGTAAATAAATTTAACAAGTGATGTGAAAGAGAAAAATTCCTAGGAAATCATAACTTAACAAAACTGACAAGTAGAAATAGCAAACTGGATTACATAACTATTTGAAAGGCTATATCAGTTAAAATTTTTCTTACAAAGAAGACACCAGGCCCAGATGGTTTTACCTGGATGTTGTGCCAAATATTTAAAGAACAGATAGTTCCTCGTACAACTGCTGTCAGAAAATACAATGAAAGGAAATAGTTCCCACTTCATTTTATGACACTAAAATCAAACTGGGAAACATGAGAATGGAAAAATTACAGACCAATATCATTTATGAACAAAATGTCAAACTGTTAAAATATTAATGAACTAAATCCAGCAGTTTTTATTTATCCTAGGACTGCATGATTAGTTCAACACACAAAAAAACTCTAATGTAATTCACATTAACAGACTAAAATAGAAAATCAACATGTTATCTCAGTGGATACAGAAAACACTTTTAATAAAATTCAACATCTAGTCATCTTAAAAAAATTCCTATTGGAAGCTAAGAATAAACTGGAACTTCCTTAACCTGTTAAATGGCATCTACAAAAAACTACAGCAAACTTACTTAATGGTGAAACTTTAAAAGCATTCCTTTTAAAATTAGGATCAACCTAAAAATGTACAATATTAACATTTTTATTCAACATTGTACTGAAAATGGGTGTGTGTGTATTGGAGGTAGGAGGTCCTAGCAGCGCAGTAATATAAGAAAGAGAGATAAAAATTATAAGGATTGGAGGGGAAAAACCAAAACTGTCATTTACATACAAATTATCAAAATTAATAGGAAAGTTTATCAGGTTTGCTAGTTACAGATGCAGTATACAAAAACACACAATTATGTTTGTATACATTAACAATAAACTGCTACCAAATGTAATTTTCTAAAAAGGTATTGTTTACAATAGCAATAAAAATAAGCAAAAAAAATTCTAACAATGATGTGAAAACCGTTTTAAATCATAAAACTGCACTCGAATAATATGAAAAAAGTCTAAATAGATGGAGAGACACACCACATTTACAGACGACTCAACATCACAAAGATGTTAACTCTCCTTAAATTGATCTACAGATTGAATGTAATTCCAACCAAAATCTCAAAAGTTTTGTTTTGTGTGTGTGTGTGTGTGTGTGTGTGTGTAACTTGAAAAGCTGATTCCAAAATTTATGGGGACAAAAATTTTCATTGCAGTATTGTTCATAACCATAAACTAGAAGCTACCTAAATGCTCATCAAGAGTAAAATGGATAAACAAACCGTGGGATATTCACAAAACACAATTTCACACAGCAAGGAGAATAAATAAGCTACAACTGCACGCAACAGTAATATACATGGCGTACAAAGCATAACGTTGAACAAGAAAAACAAGTCACAGATAAATATATACAGCTGTTCAAGCACTTTTCACATGTTAATGCATTTACAATGTCATTAAGTGATCGTGTGCCTCCCCTCCCCCACTGACCCCTTTAGGGGCAGGCAGGTCTAGAGAGGATGCTCCAAGCAAAAGGTAATTCAGATCTTTCTGGGGTAAATAGCCTGGCCTCACCAGCAAGGGAGGTGAAGCAGACATTGTCCAGGGCAGGACTTGGCAACCACTATTTAAGTTTATTACATCTGTGGTCTGACATAATTCAGTTAATCACTAATGAGTGACTGTCTTGTACACACAGAGCCCCATGCTTGGCTATGGTGAGTGGTAGCGTGGAAGTAGCACAGAGTGACCATTTACTGAGTATCTGCTATGTGCCTGGCTCCAGGCTTAATGCTGGGGATATGATGGGCAAAAAGACTACACATCTTTTGTTAAAATAATAATAATAACCAACATTTATTGAGTGCTTACTATGAGCTGGACACTCTTTTAAGCATTTTATATGCTTCAGTTCTCTAATCTTCACAATAATACTCTTATTGACTTCATTTTACACATGAGGAAATGGAAGCACAGAGAGGTTAAGAGACTTGTCCAAGGTCATCACAGCAGGAGGTGGCAGAGCTGGGACTCAAACCTAGGCAGTCTGGATCCAGAACCTCTGAATCACTGAATCACTCTCACAACACAGAGAGGTAGGTATTAATCCTATTTTGCAGCTGAGGAAAGAGAGGCTCAGAACTAAAGTGAGCACAAATTTATCTTGTACTCTCTATGTGACAGAGACTATATTGGGTAATTTATGTATATTATTTCTCCAACCTGAAAGACAGAGTTCCCAGGAATATTAGGGTCCTAACTCTGGAGAACCCAAGTATGCAGAGAGTGGCTTGCTTGCTTGCCAGCCAAACCCAACAGCCCCTTGAAAAGGACCAAGAGTGGCTAGATGGGTGGGGGTGGTGTGTAATTCCCAGTCTCATCCAGATTCCCTAGATCTCCAGATGAGTGCATGAAACTGCTGGTGGAGGGAGGAGGAAGAAGAACAGGAGGCTAGGTTTTTTTCCCCTCTTCCTCTTCTTCCTCCATCCATACCCTACATCCTACATCTTCCTGGCTCCTCTAAGCAACTATCTCTCCCCCCACTAGCCTTGAGCCTGGACCTCCTCTAGCATTAGCATGGTGGAAGCTTGGTCAGTTGGTCCTCTGGGTTCCACAGACCACAGCTGTCTTATCTTTGCCCACCTTATGGCTCCTCAGGCCATAATCCTTGGGGAGGAAGCACCTTGGTCCAAAACCGTCCCCTGTTATCTATGGGAAAAGGTATACTCCAGTTTTTTAAAAAAATATTTACAGGTTTTGTTTGCTTCTCCTCTGCTCCTACTCTTTCTTAAATTTTCAAAGTGAACATTACACCAGCAGGCTGTCCCTGAGAGACTGAGTGTCTTCTCTCTCAAATCCCCAGAGCAGAAATAGTGTCCACGTGTGCCAAGAAGGCAATGCAGGAGACAGGACACCGAGCCTTTCCCAACCCAGTCAAGTATAAACTTATTAGAAGAGGCTTGAGACAGGGGAGGAGCAAAAGTGACCAATGACATGGTACTGTTGTGTACGCAGCACCTGTCCCCTGAGAAACCATGCCAGGAACCATCACCTTATTTCACCCACGCACTATCAGACAGGACCAATTTCCAGAAGCTTCACTAAATGAAACATTCTAGGCTAGCAATGAACAGTTCCAAACTGGAAACAGCAAATTTTAAACAAGATGCATTCCAAATAAGCTCTGGATAAGAAAGAAAAAGTTCCTAGTCAAAAATTCCTCTGATTAAGATGGAGTTTACCTAATCCTCATTTTTTTCTCTGTCTTCATCTCTCTCTCTCTGTCTTTCTCATTCTTTCCCTACCTTTTCTGACATTAGCCTTTTATCCTTCAGCTATTTCATCCAGCTGCTTGTCTAGTCCAACTTTCAGGGTGGAGTGGCAGTGGATAGGGGGCATGTCCTTTGCTCTTCTTCTATACCCACTCTACTGCCACTTTGAAGCCCATGAAAGAAAACCCCACTTACAGCCCCTCCTCCGTTGCAGCCCGCTGCTTCCGCTGCTGTGTGGAATCCAGATCTTCTGCAACCTGGTTTGGGTGAGCTCTCCCATCTCTTGAGACATCTTAGATGTCGCAGCTAATGACACCACTGTCCACAAGGTACCGGGCCTCACTTCCTGTCTTACTAGCTGTCTCTTCTGTTGCTGTGGCCACAGCAGCAGGTGGACAGAGTTGGGACAGGGAGGTGCGCTGGGCTTCTGAGCCCTCTGGCAGCCCGTCTCCAGCCCCCTCTCCTCTTTCCTAGTCTTTGCCTGCCTTGTCTGCCTCTGCTCCTGTGTGTACCAGTGGGGGCATGGGTGCAGAGAGGGAGAGGTTGGGCAGAGGTCAGGAGAGGCCTCTGAACTCCAAGGGCTGTGTACATAGGAGATAAGCTGAAGCCCAGCAAGGAAGGCAGCCAGCAAGACAGCCCAGGTCTGGCCAGTCACTTCCCTCCAATGAAGACAGGACTAGTACGAGTATGCAAATAAAAGACTAAAGATCATGTGCTTACATCCTGTGTGTGTGGGGGAGGCAAACGTGATGGGGGCAGGTCTTAGCAGCTTTTGCTGCTTTGAAATAATAAACGAGCCCAAGTAGAACGTCAAGTTCCAACCCAGAAACAGAGCTACACATCAGAAATGCAAGGTTCCCAAGTACAAACACATAAACACAGAGTCCCTACTGAAAACTGCAATGTTTTGAGCAAGCAATCAAAGGCCCCGACTGGAAGTAGAAGATTCACTGCCTCACTGCCTAACCCTTCCCCACAAGATGGCATTGCAACTCTTGTCTTCCCCTGAATTCTGCTGCCTTTCCTACCGAAAGGCCTCTCCATCCTAAAATGTGCTGCTCGGGCCACTCTTGGAGAGACGGGCACTATCCAATCATCTTTATGATCTCTCTAGCCAAGGCTAAACAAATCAGAGTAAACCTGACACCTCAGGTAAAGGAGTAAATATAGCCATTGCTGGGGGAAGAGACAGTAAGCACTGCCCACATGGCTGCCATCTGTCATCAGGTGCCCTAGAGAGAAAGGCATCGTGATCTGATCCAGAACCAGGCTAAAGTTCCTCATGCCAAGCCATGGGGATCTAGGCTTAGGGTAGAGGCTGCAGCAGGTGGAGTGTGGGGAGAAGGGAGCAATGGCCTCAATGCAGGACAAGTCCATAAGCCAGAGCCATCCCACCTAGATGTCTCTGCTTTACCCTCTCCCCTGCCCTGGTTGTTTTGAGGCTTTTGTTTGTGGAACTCATCTAACGGCACAGCTTACCTGGACGATGTCCAAGTGTGTTCTTATTTCATTCTTTTGCAACCTTCCCACCCCCTGATGAACCTCCAGTCATTGGCTACAAGGAAATTCAACCTTCTGCCACTGAGCTGGGCTACACAGGGGCAATCTCTAGGGGACAGAAATCTCCAATCCCCTCCCTCCAATGCTCTCAGGTCCACTTTGCCTTTTAAGAAGTTCCCTAAAATACATTCTCAGCGTCCTAGTCTACACAAGGGTTAGATTCCCTCCAGCTGTTGTGTATAAATCATACCAAACTTTCAATACATTTCAGAGCCTGCCCATCTAAATGAATCTATTGAGGCAGTGGATCACAGTGGTTAAGAACAATGGGCTCTGGAGCCATACTACCTGAGTGGAATCCCACCTCTGCTCCTTGCTGTGAGACCCTGGAGAGAAGACTTTTCAGTGCCTCAGTTTTTTCATCTGATCAGAGTACCTACCCCCTTAGAGTTGTTGAAGATTCAACGTGTTAATACATGTAAATCAACCTGGGGAAAAGCTCAAAATATATTACCTAACACTGTGATTCCCTTTGTGAAGTAAATGATCAATCACCTCTTTGGCTAATCTGCAACTTCTAATGTAATGCTGAGCATTCAGGAAACACTCAATAAAGGAAATTTACAATACTATGACAAAGAGTTAACCTTTATAATAAATAAAGAGTTCCTGCCAATCAATTAGAAAGATGAATTCACTTTTACTTTTTCGCTTTGGTGATACAGAAATGCCCTAGAAATTGTTTCATCCAACTCTCTCAGCTAAGAAAATGGAGGCCTAGAGAGGGGAAGTATTTTCCTAAGGTCCTGTAGCAAATAAGTCACCAAGTCAGAAGTAGGACACTAGGGACCTGATTTCTCCCAGTCCAGGGCTTTCCTTTGGTTAATTGATCAATTAAGCTTGATTTAAGAATGTGGTCTTCCAGATTAGCTCAGAAATTTTAGAGTCTCGGGACTAGACTTTGGAAGAGATACAACTCTCTTAATCCTAATAAGTCTCCTAAATGGTTTCACTCTGCTAATGCAAATAATCTTAATACTAACACTTTACATGTATGTTTTCCAGGGCCCACAAAGCAACAATATTTTCCTTATCCTAGTTGCTCCTTACAAACATTCTCATTAGCCTCATAGGGAAACTGAGGTCTAGGGAGGGAAAGTGCCTTGTCCAAGGTAATTGAGCCAGTCACATGAAGCTCTCTTCTATGTTTACAATTTTGTCCTCATGACCCTACCAAGAGGCAAAAAGATAATTTTAGCAGCAGGAAATCTGAGATTGGAGGCTAGTGGGCCTTTGGCAAGGTCTGAAAGCGTAAACCTGGGGTCCGGGCTTAAAAACCCAACTTAAAACTGCCTGGAACGAATTTTTGTTTTTTGCTGTTTTTTTTTTTTTTTTTTTAACCACTGTTATCAACTGTGATCCCAGAAACAGGAGAACTAAACAAGGTTTATGGAAAGACCTCAGCCTGGCTCACTGCGCCTCAAAACATGCCATGCACTTTTTTGCCTCTGGCCTTTGCTCAGCCTGGAATGCCTTCTCTTCCCTTCCATTCTCAACGAAATCTGATTCACTCTTCAAGGCCTGGTTCAATGTTCGCCTCCTCTGGGAAGCCTTCCCTGTATCCTCAGGACAGGCTTTGTCTTTGGTTCTCATATTGCCTATATGCTTCCATCTATCTGAGCAAGTATACACCAGTGTTTTACCAGTCCACTTCCCTCCTAGACTGTGAGCTCCTTGAGGATGGGGGCTGGATCTCCCTTATCTGTGATCTATGTTCCCAGTGTCCAGCTCAGGCCCTGACACAGAGGAGACACTTGCTCAATGAGTGTTTGTACAATCTACATCTCTCTGCCCTAGATGATGGACATGTGCACAAATAATCCCCATTCAACAAGGTAAATGTCATAACAGAGAGCTCTGCAGAGAAATGGGTAGGGGAACTAACTTGGTCTGAAGGTAGAATGTGGCATCTAGAAAGTTTCTCAACCTTGAATGGGGCAGAACAGAATAGAAGAAAGAATAAAGTCCCCTCTGAAAATGTCCAATTAACTAGTTGCAGAAAAAGGGTTCACTCAGTATCAGAGACTCATTCAAGGCCAAGAGCTGAGCTGCAAATTCTAAAATGGGGTTAACTTTAGGGAGGAAAAGCATACAGTGTGACTTCCTGAGGCCTACAGATCCTGAGCATCCTCTCAAAGTACAGGGTGTTTGGGAGAATCCCATTAAAAGCAGTATCAAGACAGGACTGATGGGTAACAGAATCACAGATGTGGTCTCCCTATTGGTAATTCTTGGAGTGTGTGGGTGTGAATGCATCTGTGGGGGGTTAGGGTGTGGAGGGGAGACTGGCCACATACTTCCAGGTCAGGTGCCTATATGTGAGTATCAGGCCTTCTGTGGTAGCAGCCTAGGATCTACTTCCTTCTTAGCCACTGCCCTGGCCTACCATTCCCCCACTATTTTCAGCCTCATGCAGGCTCACTGCACCCTGGTCCTAGAAGTGGCTCTCCACAGACCATAGTCACTTAGGGAAAAGAGCAGCTGGAAGGTTGTGAGTGGTATTGCCTATAGAGGCTACAGAAAAAGCAGGATCACTAATCTCAGACAGAGCATAGAAGTCCTGAAATATTTCCAAAGAGCTTTGGTTCCTGTCCTCCCACTCCTCTTCACCTTGAGATAGCCCTCTGAGGGAAGTAGGCTAGGGACTTCAATTTCCATTTTAGTGAGGAGGCTATTGAAGCCCACAGAAGCTAAAAAGTTTGTTCAAAGTGACACAGCAAACCAGCCCAACCTGACTCATCCAGTTCATGCAAAACTGGATAGACCACGTTAGAGAGACTTCTAAAGGTGCTAGGGAGCTGCCCTTTGGGCCAGTGTCCCACAAAGACAGGTCAGAATAGATGATAGATAAATAGATAATTAGATATAGATTTCATCTTTTTCCCAATTCTCCCATACCCTTTAATGCACACTTTAATTGACCACCTATGCAAAGAAAACGTTACAAAGAGCCTGAAGAATGGATTTGGATTTGTGTAACTCCTATCTATTTTTCCTTCTGTCTCACCTACCTGTTCTCCTAGAGGTTTTTTCTTCCATCGCTAATTATCCGACACACAGCTCTCTTGCATTTAGACCCCCAAAGCAGGTCCAGTGGGTGGCGTCAAAGAGGGAGCCTGGAGATTTTCGTTGGTTCCCTGGGAAGGCTTCGGAAGTACCCTTGGTAAGAGGGGTGTGTGTGTGCTCTGTTGAAATATCAGCTGTTGTAGTTGCCAAAGAAGTTCCTGAGCCACCCGGAGCCTTTTCCCTTCAGGCCAACCATGTGTTCACCTTGCCCCAAAGGTCAGAACTAATATTAACAAGCCACTGCAGAATGGGGGAATTAAAACCAGCAATGGAGACAGTCAAGATCTGGATTTCCTTGGGACTGAGTTTCAGATTGGTCTTCAGTGTAAATGGGCACAATCCCTTACTGAAAAGCGATCTGGCAATATGAAGCAAGAGCAATAAAAATGTTCATTTCCTTTGTCCTAGTTATACCACTCTTGGGATTCAATCCTGAGCCAATAACCACCAAAGCATGAAAAAGCTCAAAGCACTAAAATTTTTATTTTAATTGAAGAGCTATTTTATGATGGCAACAACTTGAAGATAACCTTTAAGTCCTCCAGGAGGAAAAGCAGCTCATTGGATCTTTTCTGCAGACACTGAGAATGGCTCTAAGGCTATGGAATTCTGGGGAAAAATAACTATGCTGCAATTGTGGATGAGGAACCTAACGATGCAGAGTTATTCTCTTCCCTGGACATTGGCCCTGTCTATTTTTTCTATTTTTGTGTTCTCAAAAACAAGTCACTAACCTGTTGATGCTACTGCCCTTTGTTCATTCATTCAACAAATACTTATTGACTCTTAATACATGCTGTGCCCTATATTAGGGAATTGGGCTAACAAGATGAATCAGACATGGTCATTGCTCTCAAGTTGCTGGCAGTCTAGTGACAGAAATAGAAATCAATGGTAGGTGTGCATTGTGATAAGTGCTGTCACAGAATGGACCATAGAGTGCTGGGCAGGCCCAGAGGAAAAGATCTAACTGGGGAGGTGCGTGGTTAGGAAAAACTTAGGAAAGAATTCCTTGAGCTGATTAGGATAAGGTTTGAATCCTAGCTCTATCACTTCTATGAGACTGGGGTGAATTCACTCAACTTCTTACTTAGCCTTAATGCCCCTACAGGGTTGTTCTGAGAATGAAATGAGATAATGCATATGGAAGAGCCATGAACTACACTGGGAGACAGCGCTGCTCTGGAGCTTGGGTAGCCCACTTAAATTTTCTGGGCCTCGATTTTACTCATCTGAGAAATGGAGCCAAGAGAAAGCATGTGTCAGGCCAGGTCCTTAAGGATGTCATAAGGCCCAAGACAAACAATGGCTACAGGGCGGGCCTAAGACAGCCTCCTACCCGCCTCTCCCTCTAAAGCCAGAGGCCCTCGCCTAAGTCTTATTCCACTACAGTGGTTCTTACTGCTCCCTTCTCCGCCCGCAAAGTTCCCTTCGGGCGTCACCCCCTCCCGTGCAAGCACAGTTACATCAGCTACTCTCAGGGCGCGGGCGCCACAGCCATCTGCGCACTCGGAGGGCGGTCTGTCGCACTGGGGGCGGGGCTTCGGGCTCGGCGCGGTTCCACTGCTGAAAAAGTGGCGAAATCCCGTTTGTAAATAATCGGAACCACCAAGGTGACTTTTGAGCAGAGCAGAAACGCAGTCAGACTCAGATACTTGGGCCAGTGTGCAGCGGAAGGAGCAGGAGCCCAACCGAAGGCCTGCCTTTCGCCATTCATTCCCCCTAGGCGACCGCGCCACCCCGTTCACCGTCTCCTCTTCCCACCAATGAGAACTGAGGGGCTTGAAGCCCCGCCCCACGTGCGTCCGACCCTTTCGTGGCACGCACGAGAACGCCTGCGCAAATGCGCGCGGAGGGCTGGGCCTGGCCTACTTCGGGACGTCCAGCAGTTCGCTTGCGCCTAGCTTTGGCGCGGGCTGGGAGGCGTTGAGATTCGCTGTCAAGATGTTGCGCGTGGTAAGCTGGAACATCAATGGGATCCGGAGACCCCTGCAAGGGGTATACGAAGAGCCCAGCAACTGTACTGCCATGGCCGTGGGGCGCGTTTTGGACAAGCTGGATGCCGACATTGTCTGTCTCCAGGAGACCAAAGTGACCAGTGAGCGCTCAAGAATCCAGGACCGCCTACTATACTTTCTCTTTTCTGCTAACTTTTTCCCCTTGCCGCATCTCATTTCACTTGCTCATTTCTCTATCTTTAGAGTCCTCCCCTTAGATCCAGTTCAGAATCCTGATCCCCTCCCCCTTAAACCCCTATTTCTCACTGCACCTAGATCTCCTAATTCCCACTTCATCTCCTGTCCTCAGCAGAACCTTAATTCCCTCCCCCTGGCAACCTCTATCCTCGTTCAGAGCCTCTAATTCTCACTTCTGCTGCTGCTGCAGCTCAGTCGCCCTAATTTCCTGTCCCCTCCCCGCATTGCCCATCTCCCACTCCCAAGTCAGGGCCCTTAATTCCCCCTTCCTGCCCCCAGCTCAGATCCTTTAATTGCCACCCATCTTTGCCCCCAGCTCAGACTTCCTAATTTCCTCATTTTACACCTCCATCTCAGATCCCCAGTTTCCCTATCCCTACCCTCATCTCTCCCCCCTAGCTCAGAGCCTCTCATCATTCCTACCTCATGTCCCAGCCCAAGCTTAGACCCACTAATTCCCTCTCCCACCCCCAGCTCAATCCCCTGATTCCTTCCCTCTCCCACCCACTCCCCTCTGAGACTACCTAACTACTTTTCCCTCCATCCCTAGTTCAGATCCTCTAATTCCCTCTCTGTCCTACCTGCTACCCCCAGCTCAGATTCCCAGTTCCCTCTCGTTTCTTCCCATTTTCCACCCTCAGCTCCCTCCAGTCACCTAGTCACCAAGCCTCCTCCCTCCTAATTCTTCACCTCCCATTCCATGGTCTCCCCCCTCCTTCTAATTCTGATATTAATTCTGTCTCTAGTCCCCACCCTTCTAGCTCCCCCTCTAATCATAGATACTTCATTTTCTCTCCCAACTTTGGCTCTGATGTGTGCAAGGAGTTAGCCGATAACTGTAATTCCAGGCCTTTGTGTGTCCTGGGTCTTAGTTTTATCTCTGACATAATCTTACATCTTTTTTCCAGGAGATGTACTGACAGAGCCCCTGGCTATCATTGAGGGCTATAACTCCTATTTCAGCTTCAGCCGGAACCGTAGTGGCTATTCGGGTAAATGGGGCTTTCTGGGGACCTTAAATTAGTGATGGAGGCAGGAGGGGGAAAGGGTTTCCAATATTTGATGAGAAGGTAATAAGAAACTTAGGCTTTTAGTTCATAGAGCTAAAGCCACATAAAACTATGTGAAGGATAGGGGCCAGCCCCGTGGCATAGCGGTTAGGTGTGCGCCTCCACTGCTGGTGGCCCGGATTCGGATCCCGGATGTGCACCGAGGCACCACTTGTCAGGCCATGCTGTGGCGACATCCCATATAAAGTGGGGGAAGATAGGCACAGAGGAGGATTGGCATGGATGTTAGCTCAGGGCTGATCTTCCTCACAAAAAAAAAAACAAAAACAAAACTATGTGAAGGATAGTTTCTGTGTTTAAAATTATCCTATTGGACCTCAGAAGCACAATAGTATGGTGCTTAATTGTGTGAGCTCTGGAGCCAGACTGCCTGGGTTTTAATCCTAGCTTACTTCCTAGCTCTGTACCCTCTGGCAAGTTACTTACCCTTATGCCTCAGGGTCCTCAGCTGGAAAATGGGTATAATATCTACCTCCTAGGGCTATTACAAGGATTAAGTGAATTAGCCCATCTGATAATAATAATAGCTAACACTTTTTGAGCACTTACTGTGTATCCATGTAAAACACTTAGAATATTAGCTGTTATTAGTCTGTGGATTTTTATTTTTATTGTTATTATTATTTTATGTATGTATTTTTTTTTATTGAGGTCACATTGGTTTATAACTTCTGTGGCTTTTTTAGAAGAAGGAACTGAGACTCCAGGGTTTGAGTAGACTTGGCCCAGGCTCTAGGGAGCCATTCATGGCCCTTGAGTTGGGAGAGTCCTCAATAGAGCCACACTTGATGAAAATGACTCAGGTGACCTGTGTGGAGGCAACAGGTTGTGCAACAGGTTATTGGCTGCCAGGCCTACTGAGAATACCCTGTCTGTCTCTAGGTGTAGCCACCTTCTGTAAGGACAACGCTACCCCAGTGGCTGCTGAAGAAGGCCTGAGTGGCCTACTTGCCACTCAGAATGGGGACGTGGGCTGCTATGGAAACATGGATGAGTTTACCCAAGAAGAGCTTCGGACTCTGGATAGTGAGGGCCGGGCCCTCCTCACACAGCACAAGATCCGGTAATAGCCCTCAAACCCCTGTCACTGAGCACTGCTGGTTCTACTCTGTGAATGTGGTGATTCTGAGGCTCACCTTATAAACATGCATTCACCATGGGAAACTTCCCAAACTTGCCTTTCCTGTGCTCTAGTCCTCTCTGGGCTACTTACTGTGTGACCCTGGGCAAATCATGTTCCCTTCTGAGCCTTGAGTTTCCCATCTCTACAGTGGGGGTTGGCTGGGAGGTCCAGCTCTCTTATTACCACAGGTACCTCAAAAGCAACTTAGCCAATGCTGAACTCGTTGCCCCAAGTTGCTCCTTTTCTGGGTGTCCTATCTTTGTGAATGGCAGCACCATCACCTGGTACCTGAGTGTCATTAGATGCCCCTCTTTCTGCCTCATCTGTAGTCAGTCCCCAGGTCCTGTGCATGCCAGCTCATTCATGTCTCTCTATGCACTTCCTTCACGTCCATCCTGCAGACGGTCGTTAAGTGGAGGCCACATGATGTGGGGGGGGGGGAGGATTGAAAATGACCCCCGTTTTTGAGGGAGTTCTCTTCTCCCCAGCACGTGGGAAGGGAAGGAGAAGACCTTGACCCTAATCAACGTGTACTGCCCCCACGCGGACCCTGGGAAGCCTGAGCGGCTGGCCTTTAAGATGCGCTTCTATCGCTTGCTGCAGATCCGAGCAGAAGCCCTCCTGGCAGCTGGCAGGTACTGCAAGCCTGGGCTGCAAGGCTTCCTTGAGTTTGTCCTGGGTGTCCAGCCCTGTGTCAAGCTCCTTTGGAAGGGATATGGGATCTTTGTCTTTTGAGTTCCTTCACAGCCTAGTTGCAGACACCAGTATGCTTATCTGAATAGGCCCTGTTCTCTAAGAGCTGTGAGGACCAGGTAAAGTGACACAAATATGGGTTTTGTACTCAGATACCTCTGAGCATCTATCCTGGTTCCTCCTTTTACTCACTGTGAGCCCCAAGGCTAGCCCTACCTCTGTTTTCTCTTTTGTCAGATGAGTATATGAATCCCTACCTCACAGAATAGTTTTAAGGATGAAATGAGATGAAGAAGGTACAGTGCCTGGGAGCAAATGAAAAAAGTGTTGTCCCAGGGAGGGACAAGAAAGGGTGGGTTAGAGTAATCAAAGGATGCTTCCTAGAGGAAATGGTACCTGAGCTCAACTTTGAAGGACCAGAAAGATGCCATTAAGTAGAGATCAGTGAGATAATCATATCTAACGGAATGATGTCACCTTTGGAGATAGAATTGGATTGGTCAGGCATAAAAGGCAGCAAGGTTATGGTAATATTAGAAAGATAGGCTTCCATGAGTTGCTGTTGGCTCCCATCTTGGCCTCAGTGTAGGAGGTGGCCTATCTGAGCTCTTGGGCCACCAGAAAGTAGATGGGCCAAGACTACTTCTTCCCTTTCTTTAATGTCTAGTTGACAATCCTACATTGTGTTTTTCAGCCATGTGATCATTCTGGGTGACCTGAATACAGCCCACCGCCCCATTGACCACTGGGATGCAGTCAACCTGGTAAGGCTCTCTCTATGTCCCTAGCCTCATGCCTGATTGTAGTTCTAGTCAGCTAGGGAACCCATGCTGTTTTTTGGCCCAGGTGCAGCTTCCTTCATGGAAAAGCAAAGCTTAGTTTGTAATACTATTCTCAAAACACTGAGGATTGTTCATTCATTCAATAGACGTTACTGACCCTGCCCCTGGCCTGGCACTGAGCCATGTGCTAGGGACTCAGTTACTAGTGAGTTCTGGCTCTTGGCCCCTCGGAGCTCTCAGCATGGTGAGGGACTATGGACACATGATCAGCTAATTATAGAATGGTATCTTCAGGGATAAAGCAGAGATGGCAGCCCAGGAGGCTAGGGGAGCCCAGAAATGGGATTCCTGGGCCAGACTGGATATCAGGGGAGGCATCTGAAAATGGCTGAATCTTAAAAGATGAATAGAACAGAGCTTTGGAGTGGGAGGAGCAAAGCATTCTAGCCTGAACAAAGGCTGCAAGGTTAGAATTTGCCTGGTGAGCATGAAGAACTGCAAGTCCCATTCTTGTTAGGAGGGGACATGGGAAGGGAGATGAGTGGCAGGAGATGGGGCCGGAGAGCCCTTTGGGGGCCAGATTTCGAGGGCCTTGAACTCTACATTGCCTTGACCATTTCCCTAATTCACAATTTCCTGCTCATGAACCTTGAATACTTCCCTGTTACCTCTGTGATGCAGAGAAAACATTTAGGCCTGGCATTCAAGGCTTTTTGTGGTCTGTGCCCAGTCTCCATTTCCATCCTCAGTACCCCTACACACTGTGTCCACTCCAGCCAAGTCATCTCCTCTGCCCATTGCAAAAGTTATTCTCATTTTGGCTTTTCTCACTGTATCCTGAATTGGTGGGCATTCCCTCCCTTCTGTCTTTTTTTCTTGTATGAACCTCTCATCTCTGAGTCCCTCTAGGCCAATGGTTCTCAACGCCTGACAGCATATTAGAACAAGGAGCTTTTACAAAAATGTCAATACTTTGGTGCCATCCCAGTCCATTTAAATCAGAATGTATTGGGTGTGGGGCCAGGGTAGCAGTATATTTTAAAAGCTCCCAGGCTGATTTTATTGTACAGTCATGCTTGAGAACCACTGCCCTAGAATCTCCAGGCCAGTTCTCATCTTGGCTTGCTTCATGAAGGGAGAGATCAGTAACTTATGCTGGAACAATCCAACTCAGCACTGGGCTTGACTCAAAGAAGGGGCTGTAGGAAGATTCCTTGATTAGTTTGCAGAAGAGCCACATAGGGCCGGCTCTGTGGCTTAGCGGTTAAGTGCGCGCGCTCTGATGCTGGCGGCCTGGGTTCGGATCCCGGGCGCGCCCCAAGGCACCACTTCTCTGTCCAGCGCGAGGCCGAGTCCCACGTACAGCAACTAGAAGGATGTGAACCTATGACATACAACTATCTGCTGGGGCTTTGGGGGGAAAAAAATGAATAAATAAAATCTTAAAAAAAAAAAAAAAAAAAGAAGAGCCACATAAACATAGATGTGGCTGCCAGCTAGGAAAATGAGCAGAAGTGAGATAATGAGAGAATGGTGGTGGTAGTGTGGTGGGGAAGGGAGTATACACTACAAAGTCTGAGCCTTCAGTCCCTCCCTACCATATTCCTCATCAGGCATTTGCTCAGTCTCTTCTTTCTGCTTCCTGTGATAGTGTCATATACCTTTATGCCTTCTCTCTTTAGTTCAGAACTATCCTCGATCTCTCAAGTGCACCTCTTACATTCTTCCTTCCAGGAATAGAGAATTAATAGTACCAGGTCACATGACACACACAGTCTTTCCAAAATAGCAGAGTATGTCCACTTCCTAAAAGACCAGCTCATCTAGTCTTCTCATCTCCCTAAATGGCACCATCATCCTCTTGGTTGCTCCAACCAGAAGCCTGGGAATCGTGTTAGTGTTGTCCTTCTTCTCAGTGCCCCCCCTTCCCACATTCAATTAGTCAGTGAGTACTGTTGGTTCTAGCTCCAAGTCATCTCATAATTTCATTTTTGTCTGTCTTCTCTGGCACCACCCTAGTCTAAGTGACCATCATCTCTTGCTTGCATGGACTATGATAGTCATCTCCTGCTGGTATTCTGGCCCCTGGTCTGGTCTCTCCTCAAGTCTTTTGGGTATACTGCCCCTTCCCTCCACAGGTGCTTTACAGAGGCTGTTCTCTCGGTTTGTAACACCCTCTGCTGGGGTTAACTCCTGCTCAGCCTTCACTTCTCAGCTCCAGATCTCTTCCTGATAGGAAGCCTTGTTAGTCTCCAGGATGAGATCAGGTTCCCAGTTTGTCTCTAGCATCATGCCTGGCATATAATCAGTGTTCTTTGAACATGGTTGCATTGAATGAGTGGGTAGGTGGATTGAATGGATGAATGAATTGGGGATCACAGCCAAAGGAAGTATTCAGACATAGATCCCTGGAGCCCCTCAGCTTAGGAGGGAGGGATGGCCAGTGAGGGCTTTGACATACACAAGACAAGCCAAATAGTGCCAGAGGGTTTAAATGAAAAGGCAACAGTCTTCTTAACTCCTAATCCCAGCCCTACTTCCTAGAGATAACCACTTTTAACTTCCTATTTTCCGTTTTTTAGGTGAGCAATTCTGAGAATTGCTTTGATTAAGCAAACAACAAACTTTCAGATTTGGCATTTTTGGACTAGTACAATGCAGATGTAGCTTGATGCAGAGGGAAAAACAAGCATGGGCTTTTAAATCAGTAAGGATGGAAATTGAATCCCAGCTCTGACAGTTCTGGACTGTGTGACCTTGAGCAGTAGTCTTCTTTGGAACAACCACATTTTCTTGTCTGTAAAATGAAGCAATTAGTCTAAGTCCCTTTCAGTTCTAGACATATAGTTCTGCCTCTCTCTTCATCTCCCTTCTCCTTCCCCAGGAATGCTTTGAAGAGGACCCAGGGCGCAAATGGATGGATGGCTTGCTCAGTAACCTGGGGTGCCAGGCTGAGTCCCATGTAGGGCCCTTCATTGATAGCTTTCGGTGCTTCCAGCCAAAGCAGGAGGGTGCCTTCACCTGCTGGTCGGTAGTCACTGGCGCCCGCCATCTGAACTATGGCTCCCGGCTTGACTATGTGCTGGGGGACAGGACCCTGGTCATAGACACCTTCCAGGCCTCCTTCCTGCTACCTGAGGTGATGGGCTCTGACCACTGCCCTGTGGGTGCAGTCTTGAGTGTGTCCTCTGTGCCCGCAAAACAGTGCCCGGCTCTATGCACCCGCTTCCTCCCTGAGTTTGCAGGCACCCAGCTCAAGATTCTTCGCTTCCTAGTTCGTCTCAAACAAGATTCTGTGTTCAGGCAGTCAGCGCTGCAGCTCAGCAATCAAACCCAGGTGCAGATGCGCCAAAACAAAGCCTGTGTGCGCTCAACCAGGCCTCGGCCAAGTCAGGCTGGCTCCAGCAGAGGCCAAAAAAACCTGACAAGCTACTTCCGGCCATCGTCCAGCCATCCCCAAGCTTCTCCCGACTTGGAGCTTCCTAGCCTGGGCACCCTCCTGACCACAAAGACCCAAGAAGGGGAGGTGATGGCCAAAGTGGCGGAGGAGCAGGCCAAGGCTTCAGAGGCCAAGGATGATAAGGAGGTACGGACCTCGTTCTGGAAGTCTGTGCTGGGGGGCCCATTGCCCATGCCCCTCTGCGGGGGCCACAGGGAGCCATGTGTGATGCGAACTGTGAAAAAGCCAGGACCCAATTTGGGCCGCCACTTCTACATGTGTGCCAGGCCCCGTGGTCCTCCCACTGACCCCTCCTCCCGCTGCAACTTCTTCCTCTGGAGCAGGCCCAGCTAAACCAACCCAGGCCTAGGGATGTCTGGCTTGGTCAGCCCTGTACATGATCCAAGGCCAGCTCCCTCCTATGCTGGCTCTTTCTCCTCCAAGGTCTCCTTCCCCTCCTCCTCCTCCACTTCGTCCTCCTCCACCTTCCTCAAGGACCCCTCCCTTTCCTCTTTTTCTTCCTCCTCTAAGGCCTGTCTTCCTCTCTCTTCTTCCTGCCTAGCTCTTCCTCATTGGTGAGCTTCTTGTGCCTTAATGCTGGGACCCAGACCCCCATCCCACTTCCCACATTCCTGTCAGAAGTACACAGGAACCAGTTTCCCCAGGAATTTGTGATTTCAAACCTCTTCCTTCCTTGCTGGGAAATTTATCTGTGCCCAAATAAAGTTTGTGTCTTTGTTTTAGTGTACCATGTCATGTGGACATTTTGAATGTGCTCCACGAAGTTGAGTCAGAAACGTTATCTCAATAACTGGGTTTGCCAGCTGCCTGTAGCCTGATAATATAACTCCCAGGGAGAGGGGAGGAAGGAGGAGTGGTACTCACTGTGAAGATCTCTGATGAGTTGTAGCGGGTCCCTGCATTGCTAAGGTTGGATCAGCAAGGGAGGTGGGTGGGGTGTGGCAGAAAACTCAAGTGGGCTATGTAGACTTAAACCAGTGCTTCCCAACTGGTGTGTCCCACAGCTGCCACAAATGAGTTGCAGAGTGGAAAGAAATGGGTCCCTCAGCCCTAGAGTTGCCAGAGAGGGCCAGGAATTGCACAAGTGTCAGGAAAGATTGCCTCCTAGGCATGTCATATCGTTAGTTCACCCAAGTGTGCCATGCAAATGTTTTTTGTGCACTGTGACCTGGAAAGGTTGGAAGCATTGCCTTGAACAAGTTGCTTGCTATATAGCCAAGCCTCTTTCTCACCTTGGAAAACAGGGCTGGTAAGTCCTGTTCTATAAGGTGCTGTGGGAGGAAAAGAGGATAATGGATTGAGGAGAACATCCATCCATTCTCTCTGCTGGAAAATACCTCTGAAGTTTTGGGGAACCACTTCCCCCCTCGAGGCAGTTTGGTTAGAGCTAACTCTATCTGGCTTCAGGGACTACCTGGGGCCTGGGTTTCTAGGTCTACCGGTAAAGAGTCAATCCCTGGATTTTTGTGGAAACTATTGGGAAAGAGCCATTTCAAATAAACCTGCTAAGTGTCCTAGCTCTTTGTGCAACTCACTGTGTTGCACAAAGTTTTTGGCCATCTCCTTCTTCTTTCTGGATCTCAGTTTCCCTATCAGTAAAATGGGTTGGTCAGACCAACAAGTGATCTGTGATTTCTTCCTGGCTCTGCCACTTGTCTGAGGGAGTCAGGTATAGTGCAGTTGTCTGTGTTCTGTCCAAAAAAAGGGCTACAAATGCTGTAGTTTGCTCTTTATTTATTTTCAGACTCAAGTAAGCTAGAGCCACACAACAAAGCAGAGGACGAAGGAGGCCCAGCCCTAGGTGAAGTGCAAGTGATATGGGGATCTGAGGCAGCTGGCTTCTCAGGCATAGGTGGTGACATACTGGGGCCCCATGTTCCCAAAGTAGGAACGTTCCCACTCGCTCATGAGCTCAAAGTGCACAGGACGGCGACAGAAATTGCAGGCAGCCATAGACACATCCTGGAGGGGCAGCCCCACCTCAGTCCAGGCTACCAGCAGCTTCTCTGAAGGTGGTGGGGGGAGGGGAGGGAAAGAATTGGTTAGACTAGGTCTTCTTAATCCCTGTGTCACAGTACAGATGTGCCAAGATATTGATCCATTCAACCCTTTGAGATGTCTTGGAACCCAAAGTAGCCTCCTCTGTTCGCTCCATTGTGTGCTATGAATTTTACCATTTGTGTATGAGTGCTGTGATGTATAAAAGATTGGGAAGCACTCATTTGACACAATTTGAAGCTGTTCTGGCCTGGCCTGGACCACTCCCTAAGTACAGGGCATGCTGTAGCCCAAGAAGTGAATCCATTTGCTTGGAAATTCCTAGCTTGGAGAGGAAGATGACACTGACAGTAACCACACAGTGTCATCAGTGCTGTGACCCAGGAGCCTGGGGCTGGGGGTGTTCCTACTTGGAGGGGCTGGGAACCCAGAGGAGAGAACCTGACCCCACTGTCTGAAGTGCCTCACGTGTGTGCCAGGGCTCTGTCCTTGGCTTTTTTTAATGCTCACTCCCTGGGTGATCTTGTCTAGTCTCATGGCTTTTAAGCACTCTCTATATGCTGATGATCTGAAATTTTCATCTCCAGCTCAGACTTCTCTCCTGAACTCTAAACTTGTATATCCAATTGGTTTTCTGTATCTCTACTTGAATGTCTAATAGGCATCTCTAACTTAGCATGAGCACAACTGAGCTACTAATCTCCCTACCCTCCACCAAGCTTACCCATCTCAGTTCATGGCAGTTCTAGTTGCTCAGTCCAAAAATTTTAGAGCTATCCTTTATTTTTCTCTTGTACTTCTACCACATACCCAATCTATCAGCAAATGCCCTTGGCTCCACCTTCAAAATCTGACCACTTCTCATCACCCCCATTGCTCTCATCATGTCTGAGCTACCATCATCTCTTACCTGGAATATTAGAGTAGCCCTTAATGGATGTCCCTGCTTCCGCTCTTTCTCCCTTTCAGTCTATTCTCAATATAGAAGTCAGAGCAGTTCTGTTAAAATCTGAGTCAGATATGTCACTCCTTTGCTCAAATCCTTCAAAAAGCTTTCCATTTCAGAGTTAAAGCCCAGATCCTTCCAACGGCCTACAATACCCTACAGAATCTGGCCCCACGTTTCCCCTCTCTTCTCAGTTTTCAATCTTTTTCCCTCTTGCTTATGCCACTCCATCCATACTCATCTTTTTATTGTTCCTCAAATACAAAGGGAATACTCCTGTGTTACGGTCTTCCCTGCCTTAGGCTGTTCCTTCTGCCTGGGATGCCCTTCCCTTAGATATATGCCCAGCTAACTCCTTTCCCTCCTTCATATCTTTGCTCAAGTGTCACTTCAATGGTCTCTACCCTTAACACTATTTAATGCTATAACTCTCCTCTAAACTAGCCCCTCCCCCCCAGCACTTCCTATCCCCCTTATCCTGCTCTATTTTTTTCCATAGTGCTTAGATCTACCATGCTATATAATTTGCTTATTTTTAAAGTGTTTTTGACTATTTACTTCCACTAGAATGTAAACTCCAGAAGGAAGCAATTTTGTGTCTATTTTGTTTACTACTAGGTCCCCAGCACCTAGAGCAGTGTCTAGCACACAGTAGATTCTCAATAAGTATTTGTTGAAATAATGAATGAAAGGATGCCTAAGTCTAGAAGATGAAAGGAAGTAAGTCAGAGGAAGGGGTGAGGGAGGGTATTCCAATCAGAAGGGAGTGTCATTAGCAAAGTCCCAGAGGTAAGAAAGTAGAGCAAAATGAGAACTACATGTCATTCAGTGTAGCTGGAGAAATAAAATGAATGTGGGGAAGAGGTGAGATTATAGAGATCACCATGTTGAAGACCTTAAATACCATGCCAAGGAGCTTCAACTGTTCTACAGGCCTGTGGTCTCTGAATTTTGGACTATATATCCTATCAGTACAAACATTTTAGCATGTGCTTCCAATCTATGTACGTTAATATACTATATACATGAATCATTGTCAGTCTATATATTAAAGATCAATATCGGTAATGCTTAACTTTCTATTTTTTAAGATAAAAAGTAAACATAAAATTCTAATAAATCCCCTCACCCTATAGATCATCTTGCATGCTTCACCTTGGAGACCACTGCTCTAGTCTAAACAGTAGGGAAACATGAAGAGGTTTAAGCAAGGGAGCTACATGGTCAGATTTTTACAAAAATCCCTCTGGTGGTCAGTATGGAGAAGGGATTAGAAAGAAGCAAGAGAGAAGCAGGAAAATTAGGAGGAAATCACACTGACATGGATTAAAGAAGTGGCAATGGAGAAAAGAGAAGAGATTTGAGAGAGATTGTTGAGGACATTTGCAGGATTTCAGGATGGGTTAGCTGTGGGGTTGAAGGACCATGGAGTCATAGTGGATACCTCTCATTTATTTCCTGCTCTTGCATAAATGGACACTCAGAGAACTGAGAGTACTGGGAGCTCTGTAATTGAAGCCCAGTGCAACTGAGAGGACTGAGCGAAAAGTTCAGAAGTCTGGATCATCAGCTCAGAGAGGTAGCAGACCTAGTGGTTATGACCATGGATGTAGAGACAGACTCCCCAGTTCAAATCTAGTAGCTGTGTGACCTTGGACCAGTTATCGTATATTTTTATGCCTCAATTTCCACATATATAAAATAGAAATGCTAATAATAGCATCTCTATACCATAAGGATTGGATGAGTGAATACATGTAAAGTGTTTAGGACAGTGCTTGGCACATAGTAAGTACTTAATAAATGTTGGCTAGTGTTATATGATATTTTTAAATGAATGAATGAATGGCGCCTATCTTGTCTTCCTTGAACTCTCACACTGCCTACGCTCCAGAAAAACAGAATGACTCTTGCCAATGCATGCTCTCTGTTTTCCTATCGCTAGGTCATTGCTCATGGAATTCCGTTATTCTGGAATGTCCTTACACGGTACCACATGTACTTCAAGATGTAGCACAAGGACTTCCTCACCTACAAAGCCTCCCTAATTTCACTCTTCCTACGCTCTCTAGCCATAAATGAGCGCTCTCCCTCCATCTGCCAGAGCACTGGAGCTCATCACACTGGACCAGCACCATTCAAGTGTGTGTCTCTCCTCTGCTAGACCATCAACTGCCTACATGTCTTTCACCCCACAGACCTGGAATGAGCACAAGCTCTATGCCAGGCCCTGTGCTAAAAACTGAACCCAACAGGAATCCAGTAAACTTTAGGTTAATTGACTAAATTGGCATCTTTCAGGATAAAACCCAAGCTACTCAGTCAGCTCTATAAACTTCTCAATCCAGTCCCTGTCTTGTGTTGTCTTTGTAGATGCGTAGACTGACACTCCTCTCACCCACTCCATTCCTACTGCCCTACATTCCAGTAGCATCTGCTTATTGTTCTTGAAATATCCCAGGCTGCTTCTCACCCTCCACTTTGCCTTTCTTCATGTTCTTCCCTCTACTAGGAATACCCTTCCACAACCTCTTTCTTCTCTTGGTTTAATACCATTCACCTTGCAAGACTTGGTTCAGGTGTCACCTCCACTAGGAATCCTGTCTTGAATCCCACAGGTTGGGTCAAGCCTCTCCTGTCTGTTCCCACAACTCCCCCATGCACTGGCTTTGTTGAGCTTTGATCACCCCTTGAAGTCATTGTTTGTGTCTGCTATGGCCTCCTCAACCAAACTGGAGCCCTATGAGTCTAGTGACTGTTTCTCATTCATTATGACCCAAG